AATTTAATCGATGATTCCAAAATTCAAGTGGATCAAAATATAAGAAATTTGTTCCGAATAAATCAGGAATCTAATCGATCATTTTGGTTTCTCAATTAAGTTTGAGAATGATCAAATGGAGTTTAAATGTTCGATCGATGGGGCACAAAAATCGAGGTAATACATTACTACCTTATGCGCTTTATGAAACATGTTGGAATTGGTAGATACATGGATAAATATGATTGGTCTCATCTATATAGTAAATTATTTCTAAAATCGATCCGAATATGATAAAAAAGTTAACGACTTACCAAATTTACGTTAGAAACTGAACTTAATTGAGAAACCAAAACTAAATCCAAAGATAAAACATTGAAAAATGGCTTATCGAGTGCGAATTTGGCAAAACAGACTTTAGATTCGTACTCAGGACATCGAAAAACATAATATATGTCTTTTCAAAATTTTTGACTTTTTGGGTCAAAGTCAATGGTTTGACTCAAATGAGTTGACTCAGAAGAGTTGACTCAGACCATGTTGACTCGGTCGTGTCAAACAGACCCGCTTCGATTGGGTTGGCCGGCTGGAGTGATTTTAGAACGGCTGGACTAGTTCTAGAAAACTAGAGCTGGGGACAAGCTCCACGCGCATTGCTGAAGCGTGGTGGTGCTTGCGGTGACGACGGAGTTTGGGGTGGTTGGTCGATTCTTCCTTGATCGTCCATACTTAAATTAACTAATATCAACCCAAAAATCACATTAAATTCTCCAAAAATCACTGAAAACTTAAATCCAAGCTTACCCACGTCGATGAGGGAGAGTTCGATAGCGAAAAAAGATCGGAGAGGTCGAGTTCTGGTCGAAATTGAGTGGGGAACTTAGTGGTGATGGTGGTGAAGCACGACGATGGTGAAATCGACGTAAAATCGTTATAAGGTTCATGGTGGCTATGGTTTTTATCGAATCATTTGAAGGTCGATTTATGGTAACCAGGGCTTTATATGATGGACGGTTTGAGGGATTTTGTTTGTAGGTGGATGTCGGTCACAATGGTACCAACGGGGTATGACATGGTAGTCAGAGGATGAGGGTTCGAAGTAGAGGCGACGATAATTAGGGTAGTTAAAATTTGGAGAAATTGGTTCGATCCAAATCGGGGGTTTATTTTTCACTAACTATTAAAAATGGGATAATTCAGGTTAAATTCCCTGAATTTCCCACCAGTTCCAAAACCAAGCTGTAACTTTTAAAAATTTAAAATTTGATCCTTAATTTCTCCCTTGTTATGACTTTAATTCGATACTTAAAATTATTAAAATTTAGCCCCTAAATTAGGGTGTGACATCTAGTGTCAACTGATAATTATAAGTAGTGTTTTAGTCGAACCTTGTTTCGTAACTTATCTCTAACATTATCTCCTAATTTGTAGAAAATATTATTCCTATCTTATCTAGGTCTCTCATTCATGTGTATAAAACTCCTATGTATTCTCTTGTGTAAAATTGAATATTTATTTTGAATAAAATTATCGTATTCATCGGAAAACCCTAGTTTATATGGTATCAATTTAGGTTTGATCCATTGTTCCTCATTCTCGGCCGTCATGATTCACCCTTCTTCGTTCGACCTGTCATCGGAGGCTGGAGCTTCCATTGTCCAGTCGTCTCCTTCCAACTCTGCTACATCGTTGATTACTTGTCATCGCCTTAATGGTGAAAATCATATTGCCTTGTCTCAATCCGTGCGTCTGTTCATCACTAATCACCAGAAACAACAATATCTATCTGATAATATGCCAGTCCCTGATCCCTCTTACCCCCAATACGACACTTGGCTCACTGAGAACACCATGATTATGTCATGGCTCCTCAACTCTATGTTACCCGATTTTGATGCGAACTTCATGCTCTACACCACTGCCTCAAAAATCTGGAACGCTGCCAGAGAGACATACTATAATCAGGAAAACTTATCTGCTTTGTTTGGCATTGAATGCCAGATCAAGGAATTGAAGCATGACGATCTCACTGTTACGTAATATTTCACTCATTTGTCTCGCTTATGGCAGCAGATTGATCTTTTTGAGTCTCACGATTGACAAACTAGTGTAGATGCCAAACTCTACAAAGGGCTGCTCGAAAAATGGCGTATTTTCCAATTCTTGTCATGGCTGTCCATATCTCTTGATGACGTATGTGGAAGGATTCTGGGCATCAGGCTCCTTATGTTTCTTCGCCATGTGTTCTTTGAAGTTCATCGCGAAGAAAATTACCGCTCTCTGATATTTCCTCCACCTGTTGAAAGTTCTGCCCTAGTTACATATTCGTCCGGTGATACCCGTGTCAAGAGAAACAATCCCTAGAGTGATCACTACAGGAAACCTGGTCATGTTCGTGATAAATGCTGGAAGCTCCATGGTCGTCCAACCGACTGGACACCATCTAAATCATCCCCATGTCAATCCCAAGGTAACTCCACTGTCACGACATTGCGGGATGGTTCTTTTACTAGTCAACAGTTGGATGACCTCTGAAAGTGTTTGGTCATTTACAGCTTTCTCCTACTACTGAGTCCAAATATACGTGCACTGCTAGTGAATGTATTTCTCATTTTTCCTTCTTATCTCCTTCACCCATGTGTCTCTTGGATTATTGATTCAGGGGTGAGTGATCATATCATGGGAAACTTTAATCTCTTTTCAATGTTTCACAAAATCGGTGTCTCATGCAGTGTTCGTAATACTGATTGCTCCCTATCATCGATTGAGGCAGTGACTCGACTCTCTTTAATCGTCACATTATTCTGTCTAATGTTCTCTATGTTCCAAGTTTGGCTCGCAATCTTCTTTCGATTAGCAAATTGTCTACAGATTTAGGTTGTACTTCTTGTTTTAATCACGATTGTTGTGAATTTTAGGATTTGAACTTGGGGATGGTGATTGGCAATGCTAGGTGTCATGGTGGACTATACATCCTTGAAGCTCCTCCTCATGCTCTTGTTCCAAACCCCCACCTTCACCATTTATCTCTTCCTTTGTTTCAGTTTCTCCTATATATGCGAGTGTCGAAATTGTGTTATGGCATTTTAGGTTAGGTAACCCAAGTTTTCCTTATCTTACAAAATTATTTCCCAAATTGTTTATTAATAAAAGTTCTGCATAATTTTCTTGTGACATTTGTTCTCTTGCAAAGATCATTAGAAACTCTTATAATCCTTATTTGTCTTGCTCGCCTAAACCATTTTCTTTAATTCTCAGTGATATTTAGGGACCATCGCGGGTTATGGGTTTACATAGAATTCGTTGGTTTATCACTTTTATTGTCGACCACTCTCGTACCACTTGGACTTTTCTTATGAAGGACAAGTCTAAGTCTTACACTATATTTAAACGCTTTCGTAAAATTATTGAAACACAATTCCAGAGTTACATTGGCATCCTTAAAATCTGATAATGGTGTGGAATACCTATCTCGTTCATTGGGATATTTCTTCTAGAAAAATAGAATAGTCCACATCACTTCTTGTGTCGACACACCATAACAAAATAGGGTCACCGAACGTAAAAATCGTCATCTTCTTGAGGTAACCTGAGCACTTCTTTTTTCTTCTAATGTCCCGAAATACCTTTGGGGTGAGGCTCTCTTAACAACTACATTTCTCAACAATCATCTGCCTAGTAAGATTCTTGCCTTTAAGTTTTCCTGATATATCCTTTCCAAAAATTTCCCTCATTTCAAACCTTTCACCTCTTTTGTTCCTCTTCGTGTCTTTGGTTGTACTACCTTTGTCCATGACCACAATCCCCATAAATCTAAACTAAATCGTCAAGCGATCTAATATGTCTTTGTTGGTTATACATCTCTTCATAAAGGTTATATTTTCTACTCTCCTTCTGCAAAATGGTTCTTCACTTCTATGAATGTCACTTTCCAATAGCATAAATCGTTCTTTTAAAAAATTGAAATCTAAGGGGAGAGTGGGTATGAATTTCAATTTTTACCGATTACTATAGAGTTATTCATCAATCCATCTTCTACTGAAACAACTACCATTCCACAACCTTTTAACACCACCACATATGATGATGAAAACCAATCCAATAATCCCACCGAAATCTTATGAAACACTCAGGCCATCTACTGATATCCTCACCTGCAAAAGAAAATCTAAACAAGCCCTACCGTTTACACTGCAACCAATGCATTTTCAAGAGCCAAAACTAGGATTAAATCCCTTGACAAACAGAGGAGATGGTGACCAAAGTAAGTTGGATGTGGTGATTGATACTAGTGAGTTACCAATTGCTCAAAGAAAGGGAGTTAAATGATGTACAACTCATCATATCAGTAAATTTCTTGCTTATGGTAACCTAATGCCTAGTTTTAAGACTTTCACAACTTAGGTTGATCATATTCACATTCCAGAGACCATAGATGGTGCATTAAAAAGTCCCGAGTGGAAGAAGGAAGTTGAAGAAAAATATTTCAACTCTAGAAAACAATAAAACTTGGGTCGTCGTTAATCTACCTAAAGACAAGAAATCGGACAACTGAAAATGGGTCTTTATTGTGAAATTCAAGGCAAATGGCAAAATTGAGAGATATAAGGCTAGACTTGTGGTAAAAGGGTTCACTCATACTCATGGAGTTGACTATCAGGAGACCTTTTCTCTAATTGAAAAACTCAACACTGTTCAAGTTATATTATCATTGGCAGTAAATAAGGATTTGATACTTCACCAACTAGACGTAAAAAAATGCAATGCTCATTGGCATTCTTGAAGAAGTGGTCTATATACAAGTTCCACCAGGAATTCATTCTGGAAATAACTGGGTATGTAAATTGCTGAAATTCCTTATATAGTCTAGAACAATCACCTCGAGCTTTGTTTGACATATTCACGAAGGTAACGTTACAAGACAACTGCAAACAGTGTTAATCCGATAACACTATGTTTGTAAAAACTACTTCGATAAGAAGAAGTCAATCTTGATTGTCTACGTTTATGATATCATCATCATGGGTGATGACTTAGTAGAAATCGAAAAGTTGAAGACACTACTAGCAAAGGAGTTTGAAACCAAAGATTTAGGAAATTTAAGATATTTCCTAGGCATGGAGGTAGCGAGATCACGAGAAGGAATTGTCATAAATCAAAGAAAGTACATTATAGACTTACTGTCTGAGATTGGAATGACTAATTGCAAGCTCTCAGAAACTCCTATGGAAGTTAACCTGAAATTGAGTAAAGATGGAACCTGGCAAACAAGGAACAATATCAAATGCTAGTTGGTAAACTCATTTATCTATCTCTAACTAGACCTGACATTGCTTTTCCCGTTAGCATTGTTAGTCAATACATGAATGATCCTAGAGAAGAATATTTGGAGGCAGTTAATCGAATCTTTAGATATCTAAAGATGACACCAGGACATGGGTTGATTTTTAGAAAACATGAAGACAGGACAATTAAAAGCTTCTCAGATTCAAGCTGTGTTAGAGAATTAACAGATAGAAGGTCAATCACGGGATATTGTTCATTTGTGTGGGGAAATCTAGTGACATGGAGAAGCAAGAAACAATCTGCAGTCTCTAGGAGTATTGCAGAAGTAGAATATAGGGCGATAGCACTTGGGATGTGTGAAGGAATTTGGCAACAAAGACTCTTAACTGAACTAGATATGTGCGACAACAATTACTTTGAACTTTAAAGTGACATCAAATATGCGATAAATATTGCAAAGAATCTGGTGCATCATGACAAAACAAAACATGTGGAGATCGATAAACATTTCATTGCAGAAAAAGTAAATGGCGGAACTGTGAAACTACACTACGTCTCCTCACAAAACCAGCTAGCTGATGTATTGGCCAAGGCATTTCCGAGGATTACCTTTGACGAAATTATATCCAAGCTAGGTCTTTACAATATTTACTCCCCAGCTTAAGGGGGAGTGTGAGTAGTGTTTTAGTCAAACCTTGTTTCCTAACTTATCTACACTCTCTCCTAATTTGTAAAAAAGATGATTCCTATCTTATCTAGGTCTCTCATTCACCTGTATAAAACTTCTATGTATCCTCTTGTGTAAAATTGAAATTTTCTTTTGAATAAAATTACTGTCTTCATCGGAAAACCCTAGTTTACAATAATATCCATTTAATCATCAATTAACGGGTAGTCATAATGACCTTACGATTAATTAACACCCGTATTAAGAGTTATTATAAAAACTTTCGATCAAAAACACTCTCCCCTTAAATTTAAAATGAATAAATGGGTTACAACCATTTCACCATTTATTCACATCAACAAACTCATAACACGGTTTTACCATTTTACAAGAGTAACTTTAGAAGAGATGAGGTTAAACATGAACCCTAGTCAACCCTTGTTTTAGTATTAAAAGAGTAAAAGAATTGCAAAGGAATGGTTGGGTTTCTGAGAGAGAGAGTAATTACTGCACTGCACTGAAACAGATTAACTTATTTACTACTTTTCCAACTACCAGCTTATCTCTCTTATTTATAAACCAACTTCTCTACCCTAATCTCTCTCACTGAACTCCCCTTTCTCTGTCTTCGATCTCTCAAAGTTTCTTTCGCTTCAAGCTTTGGCAATGGTGGCAATGGGGAAGTTGTGGATGTATTGCATGGTTGTTTGCTTAGGTTTGGCGTTGAGCGATATCGTTTCAGGGCAAGTAGGAAATCCCTTTTTGCCTGATGGTGGGAAGAGGCGAGAAATGGTGCCTGCGATGTTCGTGTTCGGGGATTCTCTCATCGACAATGGCAACAACAATGACCTTCCTTCTTTTGCAAAGGCTAACTATTTCCCTTATGGGATCGACTTCAATGGCGGTCCTACCGGTCGCTTCTCCAATGGATATACCATGGTTGACGAAATTGGTCAGTCAGTAAACACTCTTTTATCTCTCCATTCAAAACAAATTGTAGCTAATGATGTATGTGCATCAACATGCAGCTGAACTGCTCGGGCTTCCATTGATTCCTGCATTCTCTGAAGCTTCCGGTGATCAAGTTCTTCACGGTGTCAACTACGCTTCCGCGGCTTCCGGGATCCTTGACATCACTGGAAGAAACTTTGTAAGCATTTCTCACATACATGCATTTGATTATATCTAATTTTTTTGAAATAATTAAGTTAAGATACTTCTGATGTGTCATTTGTATAGAAAAAAAAAACGGAAGGATTCAAGTATATCACGTGATACGGGATGTTAGGCAATTATTACTCTTATAACCAGGAAATAAATCTGGCCTGCAACTCCATGTAGTTTTGCCGATGGAATCATAAATGCACTTTGACTCATGGAATTGCTATTTTCTGTAGCCTATTAATATCTGAATCAGTACAAACATTTAGTGTCTACCTTATTTTGCTTGTTCATAGAGCATGCAGCATGGCACAAAAAATATCATGCAGTCGGGACTTAGTAATAAATGATGAACACATGAGAAACGAATCTGATATTTGTGTTTTTTTTGTTTTGTTCAGGTGAGTCGAATACCATTTGATCGACAGATTCGGAATTTCCAGACAACATTGGATCAGATCACGGACAATCTGGGTGCAATCGATGCAGCAGAAGCACTTGCTAAATGCATCTTCTTTGTTGGGATGGGAAGCAATGATTACCTCAACAACTACCTTATGCCTAATTACCCTACCAAAGATCAGTACAATGGTCAACAATATGCTGATCTCTTGGTTCAAAAATACACTCAGCAACTCAGGGTATGTTAATCACTTTATCCACAACCTTGCATACTCGTATCATGTCATATCCGTGTTACATTTCCGTACATTCGACTTTCGAGCTCGAAATTTCTGAAATTGACGTAGTTTATCAATATGCAGACACTTTACAATCTGGGGGCACGTAAGTTTGTGGTAGCAGGGTTAGGAAGAATGGGGTGTATCCCAAGCATTATAGCACAGAGCACGGCCGATGGCTGCTCGGAAGAAGTGAACCAGCTGGTTCTACCTTTCAATGCGAACGTTAAGACGATGATGAATAACCTTAATGCTGATCTGCCGGGTTCCCGGTTCATCTACGTAGACATCGCTCACCTTTTCGAAGACATAGTGACCAATGCTAGAACATATGGGTTTAGTGTGGTGGATAGAGGGTGTTGCGGCATTGGGAGGAACAGAGGGCAGATAACGTGCCTTCCGTTTCAAACACCGTGCGAGAACAGAGATGAATATGTGTTTTGGGATGCTTTCCATCCGACTGAAAAGGTGAACATCATAATGGCGACGAAGGCCTTCAATGGAGATCCTTCAATTGTTTATCCCATCAACATTCAGCAGCTTGCCAGTCTTTGATCTTTAACCGAATTAGTTGCTACTATTTGGCTTGTTTTCTTTGGGCATGTTCTTTAATTTATTTTCTGTTTGATTTGGGACAAACACTACTTTTTGCTTTCACTGCTACTTCAATACTTCCTTTAATTCTTAGCATAGACTAATTTAGTAATGTTTGCTACAATATAATTATATTTTAGTTTTTTTGGTGGCATCAAAGAATCCTAGTTTTTTTTTCTTAAACAAAAATGATTATAAAGTAGTATTTATTCTAAGTACTCTCAATCATTTGACAATGAACCTTCAATCCCTTTGCAGTCTCACTGATGCTCGAACCTGTAACCTCTAAGAACAACAATTCCTTTAACCACTGAGATAATTTAGTTCGTACAATAATCCTAAAATTTTAAACATAAGCTTTAACACATGTTTTGATATGATATAAAATTACATAGCATATAAGTCTTTGATGTAATGTAAATTACACAATAATATAATAGTATATAACCTTTGAAAATGGGAAAAGACAATCCAAACTCAAGTTTGAATTTTAAGCCCCAGCCCATTTTTGACAATTTTCAAGTCTAATAGTTTTGTCCATTCCAAATATTCGACAACCCAACCCTAGGAGAGTTCTACTAGAGACTGGTTCATGGTGAGTAGGTTAGTTGGTAGCTTCAATCATAAATTTGTTGATTTTAATAAATATAACTGAGAATACAAAATCTACAGTTTAACAAGAAAGATTGAGAGTTGCATTTTCCATGTCTCTGCTCTTAGTCATGTATTTTAGATACCTTGACCACACAAAGGGATCAAATCATAAAAGCAGGTTTCATCTCTTTTATCTTACGCGACGAGCCTTTTCTTCCTGTCCCAAACCTATCTGTGCATTTGCAATACCTTCTGGATCTGCAGCAATACAAATACAAAAAGTTAGAATTATATGTTCACTGACAGTGCGTAACTTAAAAGAAATCGGTGACCATCGACTGCCAGAGCTTTCTAGGCAATTGCAAAGATGATCAGAATAAGTCATTCCAGTTTCCAACTTTTCAGTTTTGTTAAAGCATCTGTCTCTAACTTATATGCAAACATCACTACAGGGATATGACTTTTCAGATATCCTCCAATTACATGGAGAAAACTCGTTAAAAATTGAACATACTCATGTCAGACATATATCATACCCAACTCACTTGAATCGGAATAGCATAGGTGATTATTTGCCAGATTTATTACTTGAAGATATGAAGGACAAAAGCTAGTAAAATGCGTAGGGGTGTTCAAAATTCAGTTTTAACAGAATTAACCGACCGAATCGAATTAGTTCGGTTAATTCGGTCGGCCACCGAATTAGTTCGGTCGGAGAACAGTTAAGGTTTTTTTGAAATTCGGTTCGAAATCGGTTAATTAACCGAATTAACCTTTAAATATTAAATATATTATATATAATATATGAACTCAGTCCAAACTATTTAAAAACCAATTAATAATTTAGGATCCAATAACTTTTAAACCTAAATCAATATTAATTAATTAAAAAAATCCATATAAAATTTTTATTTTATAATTTTATATTATTTAAATTAATTGTGAATTGTTTTTTTGAATTAAAAAAATTCTATTTTTATATAATTTAGAAAAATTTAAAAAATTTCGGTTAATTCGAAAATTAACTGAATTAACCGCAATTTATTCGGTTCGGTTAATATTTAAAATAAAAAAATTGGTTCGATTAACGGTTAAAGAAAAAAAAATTTGATTAATTCAATTAATGGTAATTCGGTTCGATCGGCCACCGTTTTAAGCGAATGAACACCTTACTTTTTAGGGTGGTGATCACAGGAAATTGAAGGGCAGTGAGACTATGATGGATATAACGACGACACTAATGTTTGCGAAGGAGGTGGCTTCATACTATAATTTTCATTTTTGCCGTATTTGTTAACCATTTTTTGACATAGAATTTAATAATTTAGAAAATTATTTAATTGAGCCACATCATAACACCATTACAAAATTAACGGTGGAATGACTAAAAGATTTAAATGTATAAAATTATGTTATTAAATTAAAAAAAGTTGAAAATATAATGAATAAAATAAAAGAGATAATAAAGTTCAATTACTGTTTAAAATTACCCATAGGATAATGCCTTCTGTTTGGTTGCAAGAGGAACGCTTCCCTGGAATTAAAAATTGAAATCGGTTTTCGAGATAAAAGTATAATTGAAGCCCCTGTACTATACATCAGATTATATTTCTGACCTTTTACTTTATAAATGCATAAAAGGACCTTTGCACGTTACAAACAAGAGTAAGATGGTAGGAAACCAAACGAATTGCATAGTCGATGGCTCGTTGTCATTACCCATTTTATCTG